TGTGTGCGTGTGTGTTTGTGTGTGTGTGTGTGTGTGTGTGTTTGTGTGTGTGTGTTTGTGTGAATGTGTGAATGTGCATATGGGTGTCTTTTCCTTTTCTCTTTCTCTGTATATCTGATAGTCTGATTGTCTACCTGTCTGTTTGACAGTCTGTCCATATGCTACTCGCCCTATCAGCCCGTCGATCGTTCTCTCTGTCAGTCGTATCATCAACGGGACAGACGAGTGGGAAAAGAACCGAAAGAAGCTGATATCACGGCCTTAAATAACGAACAAAATGCAAACGACGGCAAGCGGGGAATGTAAATCATGCATTAAAAATCTTCTTCTCAATGCAATAAATCTACAAAGTGTGGATATGTGTAGTAATTAGATTGGAAAATTCTGCGGGAAACATGCAGATCGTGATGTGGTCGATACACGGGATCAAGACACTTTTTGTTGTAGCAAGATCCGTCCGCACAGAATCAATTCCACGGCAAATGCAGCGCTCGTCGCTCAAAACAAAATGATTTTGTAAAATGTTTGACATCGAGATTTGAGCAAAGCAGAAAATTATTTCTAAAAAACAGAACAAACGAAAATTATATAAAATCCAAACTCGAATTAAGAGAAAAGGAAACAAGAAAAACAATATAAAATCGTATGATCCGAAGTATGAAATATGCAAGGTGGAAACGACAAGAAAACACAACATACTAATACTATAATATTCCAAATCATAAATCATTGAAAATTGAAAGAAGTAAAGAAGATGGAAAAGGAGAATATTATATTCCAAAACATGAATTAATTCTGCGAAATGGAGCTCAAAACGAATCGTAAATGAACACCGTATTCCAAAACATGAATGGTGCAAAATAAAATAAAAAAATTAAAAAAAGGCACTGAAAGAAAATTGAGGATTAAATAATTTGTTCGTCTTTGTGAGTGTGTGACAGTACTTGAGGAATCATGAAGTCGATAAACACTTCGTTCCGTTGAAAGTGATCCTAAAGTCACTTAAGATTCATCTATATAGAAATCTAAAAATAAATAAATAAGAAAATGAAATGTTTGAAAGAACTCTGAAAATAAAAACTGGATTTTTTAAAATGTCTGATGTTTACGGTTTATTTATTTACCCTGAATGAAAACAGATTTCTTAGCTGCTTTATTTCCTATATACGTCTGAAGGCACCCTTTAGAAGGCAGGTTAAGCATTTATGTACGGGTTTTCCTTTACCCTGCTCATGAAAAAAATCCATTTATGTTTATTTCGTGCGTGTTTAAAGATTCAAAGCGAAATTGTTGACATCAAATGTCAACCCACATGTAAAGATAAAAATTAACAGATTTATTTGTATTTCTCTCTCTCTCTCTC